AAAACAAAAAAACAACTATGTGTGCACACATACATAATATTACCTATTAATTAGAATACTACAATTATGTAAACAATACAAATTACTTTTGCAATGTTAATCTTTTTGGACACTCAAGGAAAAGGTGGAAAATATAGTGTGTTTATCACCCTTTTACTCACAAAATGCAACTCAACTGACATTGAAGTCAATTCCCTTTTTCTTTCAATTCTATAAACAATATGACACTACCATCTTCATGTTTTCCTGCACATACACACACAAAAAAAATGAATCATATGTAAGCCACCTGCTGGGCCACCACAGTGAAGTTCCAAGTTGACTGGAAAGAAAGGTATGAAAGGCTTTAAAAGATTGTGGTATTGCTCATAAACAATCCATGAAAAGCAGGTCTGATCCCCACACGGAGTGACCAGTGTCTGATGCACACAGACACAGTGTCTGATGAACACTAAGCTTAAGCAAATATGGGCTGGATATGATGATGCAAGAGTCGGTTTTCCACAGCAAGCAACTTACCTGCTTGTTGAAATGCTACTTGGACAGCTCTTTTAATGTGAATAATGGAAAACTATCACTTGAAAAATAAGAACATATTACGTTTTAGAAATACTGAATCAAATTCTGATATTTCTCAAAATTCTATGTATGTTTAGGTTATAACTACTTATGTCCACATATATAATAAGACACCAAAGGAGATCAGCAAATTGCTTAAGTTGCCAAAACCACATTTCACTTTACCCACTTAAAAGTTATAGTTTGAAAATACTAGGAAATGAGATGTAAATTAAGAACAGGTTACTGCCATGGAAATTTGCCTCTGTATTGAAAAATAGGTAAAAGAAGTAAAATATCATATAGATATTTTAGATAATGATCTTCCAGATAATATATAAATTAAATAATAGTTTGATATTAGCACAATTTTTAAAATTATTTTTAAAATTCCTAATTGCATTGTCATTTCTTATGAATATACACTCCTAAAAGAAAATATCAAATTTGAATATAATACATAATTGGCATTTTAAAATGTTTTTGAAAAAAACAATGTGTACGTCCTTACTATTATCAAGGTTGGAGAAATACTAGAAAGCTGTCTAAGCAGCCAGGTTTCTTTGAAAAAAAAAAGTGACAACTTTTTACCTATTTTCAAGATGAATCACTTGCTTTATATTCTGGCTTTATGTGTATTTATTACACTAAAATTAGTGAAACCATGAAAAAAGACAATAAAGGTGGATTTTATTTGAGCCACATAATTTTATCTTTCCAAAATGCTTTTCTTTAAATTATATCCATTTCAGACTACCTAATGCCCATTGAAATGCCAATGCAAATAGCTACATATATACCTATGCCTAATAACAACAAATTTAATATTATGTCACTACTTATATGGAAAAATGTGTCTAATGTTGCATATTTTAAGCATACACCTGTGGAATAATAAATGTTGTTAGGTGGTTAAGCTAGTGAAAACAAGTTAAAGACCTGAACAAAGGATTTACTAATGTTCATTGTTCTTAGGTTTTATATTTAATATTTTATCTCATTTAATCATAAGGCACATTTCCTTGTGTGAAGAATAACTATGTCATTTTTGATGAGTGAGATACATCCATTCCGGTACCACAATATACAGAAATGTCTTTTCTACCATCTTTTAAATACAAAATTATCTACTAACCGAAATATTTTATCATAAGTATAAAATCCTCAAAAGTACTGTTCTTTTATGAGATTTTATGGTTAGTTCCTGTAGATATCTCTAATGCTTAATTATACATTTACACCATTATACAGTTTATATTAAAATCCCCATGTAGTAAAGGGTTTTCAACCAATTATTGTTGACTGGCATCTGGATATGACTGAGATAAAAGTTTAATATGAACAATATATATATGACACTTTAAAAAATGAATTTACAAATAGATTCTAAAATTAAGGACAGATTTAAATTAACATTACAATTCTGGCTATCATACATGTAATCCTGAATATGTGTCTTAATATATGTTCCAAGGAATTATTTATAAAAAAAAGAACAACTGTTTTTGAAAACTACATTTTAAAACACTAAAATAACATTTGCATTCTATAATATGAAAACAATATATTACCCAATTAAACACAAACCAATATGCATTAGGTGGTTGCTACCACATCACATATTTATTTCACACTTTATTGGAACAGATATTTCCAAAAGAAACATCTAGCACAGAGAAAGAATTGTATAAAAATTTCTTTTTCTGAAAAAAAACAAACTCAAATTATTTTTGTGTTAATTATTAGAATACTTTAACAACTATTTTAATACACGGTAATGTTATAGCAGAATATTTGTTAAACCAAAGAAAAAAAATTAGATATTTAGAATACTACATTATTTATGTTTAATTACAATAAAACTTAAGCTCTTCATACTATGGTAAATACTCTACTAAAAAAACTTTGAATTACTAATTATAATTCAGGTCCAACTCCAATTAGTGCCTAATTAATTTTATAGTGTGTTAAGAGTATGTTCTCCCTCTTTTGATGATAAAACCTTCTCATATTACTTTTTCTCTGAAATATAAAATTGTTAAGAATTTACCAATATTTCCAGAGAAATTTACAAAGAGAAGCATAATCATTTGCTTTCAGTAATTGCTACAATCTTTGTTTTCAGTTTTTACAAATCTGATTTTTTTCCAGAAGATTGGAGATTTATCCTGATAAACACTGCACATGATATATTTTTATATCTTTTTATGCATGAAAAACAATTGGCACCACATCTTGATGAAATTAACATTACATTTTTTATTTCATAAAGTTTATTCTGAAAGTAAACATGAAGTAAAAATGTCAACTATTATTTCTCCTTTCCTCAGAAGATGATGTTACTGACTTTCCAATAAATAATTGCAGATGCAGAAGCCTTCCAAAATATTAATATTACTAATAGCAGAGTGGCTCGCAGCTACAAAATCTGTTCTCAGTACAGGAAATAATGCTTCATACAATCTAAATATATCTATACTTTCATTGTTCAATAATAGTCAAATCTTTTCAAAGAAAAAAAATTGTGGTGCCCTAATTCTAATTTTTCCCCACTATTTACTCTTTCTTGTCCCTAGTAAGTTTCTGATAGTAAAAATTGAGTTATTTTAACTTTAGGAAAGCATTTACTGCAAATATTCTACTTACAATAAGGATTTTTACATTGATATTTTATCACAGTATGTTCAGGAGTAAAGGTTTATTTGTTGTATTTTGAAAAGCCATCATCTTCCCCAATGTGATGATGCATTCCCCCCAAGGGATAGAAATAAGGATAAATTGTCAGTTTCAAATAATACTTTTAAAACGTATGATCTCGTGTAACTCTTTTTAAAAGTCACTATTTGACACAAAATGCAAACGTGTCACTTGAGTTCTCACTTAATAGGCCAAGCTATAAAAAGACTAAAAAATTTTAAATACAAATATTTCTTAATAAGAGTGAAGGATTTTGAAGCATTTTAAGGAAATTCTTACATTTCTTATGTTTTAAAAAAAATCTAATTGTAACATTCTGCCAATTAAATGAAGATCTGCCGATGACATTTACCCTCTCCCTTCATAACAAAAAAGATATGCAATCATTTTTATGGAAGATTATCTAAAGAGGAACATTACTGTAAATCAATGACAAAAAAATATTAGACACTCTCCTTCTCCAGGTTAGACTGTCCATCCTCTAGATTCCTGCACTGACACCAAAGGTAATAAATACTTTAAGCTGCATTTTAAATAATAGCTTCAGGGTTTCAGCCCGTAAAGATGCACTGTTGGTAACCACCAAAAACTCCACTATTCAGCACTCAGCCAACAAAGGACAGCAAATAATTCCCAGCAGCATAAATACCGGGAAGGCTACCTTGGGCTTTGTTTTTGTTATGTAAAATGCATTAAAGTGACTCATCCACTTAAGCTTACCTACTCATAGAAGCTTTAAAGTAGCTTCAAAAACCAAAATAAATGCTTTCCCAGAATGCCTGATAGGCTATTCAGAGCATTTAAAAATATGTATATATTTATATGTGCCCCCTGAATTTGATACTTTATTGCAGCCTAAGAGAGAAGAGAATTGTTATATTTCACTCCCTTCCTGCCGTGTGACTATAGTTACCTTTCAACACTCTGTCTCCAGAATAGCAACGAGTTGTTTTTTTTTTTTTAATTTAAAAGTTATTTTAGAAATGTTAAAAATAGGAAAAAAAAATTGCAGGAGACTGTGGAAACAGTCCCTCCCTAAAAGAATGGGAGTTCTTTTCATTCTAAGAACAGGAAACCGAGTATCAGTCAGCACTTAGATGTTTCCAATAAAGGGTCAGGGAGGTTGGATTGCACAGCCCCAGTACCTGTGAGCCCCGGGGTGGACAGCACGCCCTGCTGCGGGGAGCAGGCACACCTCGGATCTGAAAGGCTGTCAAGTGCGCCCAGGAATTTGGGATCTAAATGAGTTTGGGCACTATAGCAATTGGAGATCATCCCAGAGGCCAAGTGCAGGAGAAGTCCAAGCTACCCTGGCAAGCTGGAAATTAACTATTTGTAAAATACTCAACCAAAACACAACTTTTTTATTTAACTGGGTTTGATGAGAGCGGATGAATGACTGGAAACTTTTCTCCCAGTCCAGTTAAACTCTTGAGTTTCTAGAATCCTTTTAGAGATGGACTAAGACGCCAGGAGTCGGCGGCCAACATTTCTCGGGACAGCTCGGCCCCCGGCGCCTGGCCGCGCTCAGGGTCGGGAGAAGCCAGTTCGGAGCGCATTCCAGCCTCGAGCCGCGCACTCAGCCGGCTCACTCGGCCTCTCCAGATCCGAGCCCCGCTCGCCAGCCGTTCGCTCCCCACCCCCACGGGCAGAAAAGCTCCGCGACTCGGGAACCGACCCCAGCCTCCAGCTCCCGCGGCATCACCCGGGCCGCGCTCCCCGCCCTGCCGGGCCCGCCGACTTACGTGACGGCCGAAGGGAACGGCTCCTCGGACGAGGGACCGATCAGCAAAGATTGGAAAAGTGTCAGAGTCAAGGCCAGCAAGCAGCCAGCAGCCATCTTCGCGATCGAAGATCAATCCCCCCTCCCTCCCCAGCTGGGGGAAGGAGCGGTGCTGGAAACCGCTGGCGGCGGAAAAGGAGCACGCTCTGGCAGACCGCCGACGTCTGGAGGGCCGGCGCACACGGGGCCCGCGGCGTGGAGTGGCGCGGGGGACCGCTAGGACGAAGCCGGGTGCCGGGGAAGGGGCGGTGGCGGGAGGACCCACTAGCGTGTCTCGGCTGCTCAGCGCCACGGCTGCCTCGCCTCCCTCTCCTCCGCCGCCATCAAGGGCGACTTTGGAAACAGTCCTCGGCAAGCTTGCTGGCGCTCGCGCGCTCTCGCTCTCCCTCTCGGTTTCCTCCCTGATTTATTCCCCTGATTGTCGAGGCAAAGGAGGAGGCGGGGGCGGGGGAGGGGGCGGAGGAGGGTGACGGCGCTGGGGAGGGGTGGGGGTGAATGCAGGAATGGGGGAATGGCAGGCAGGCTGGGAGACTTGTGGAAGAGAGAGGCTCCGTCTGGCTTCTCCCGGCAAGTCAGAGGGAGGTGGCTGGGGGTGGGCAGCGGGAGGGCTGGGCGTCAGAGCAGTCGGGCGGAGACGGGCCGGGAGCAACCCTCCATACAAGGCAGAAAGGAACTCCCAAAGTCGGCGTGGGTTTCCTCCAGCCGCCCGGCGTGCGGAGGGGGAGCGGACCCAGCCCCGCGGGGTTCCCGGGGGACAACCAGCCGCCCGGCGGGCAGCCACAGGCTGCAGAGGCTCCAGCTGAGCACTTGGCTCGCGTCTTCCGGGCTTATTTTTGCACGCGCTAGCAGCTTTCCCCCAACCCTTTTCCCAGGCGCAGAATCCACTGCCTGCCTAGGAATCGTGAAGTGATTTGACAACAAATGTAGGAGGGGTTTGTGTTGCATTTTTAAAGCACCACTATTGACTTTCTACCAGGTGGCACTATTTGCCCATGTGCCAGAGGTTAGAGCCTTTGGCGGGACTTGGTACTAATTGTGCCAGAATTGTACGAATGGGATCGGCTTACCTGAGGAGGACCGAGCTAGGGACAGTTAAAGAAGGATATGATGCTGTACCCCCCCCCCCCCACACACACACACAGTCCTGCCGTTCTGTAGGACAGAGCTGTGGAGGGTCGGATTCTTCATCTAGAGTGGACAGTGCTGTGAGAAGGGCTTGGTAGGGTCCTAATGAAACTGCCTCCAAAAGAGTCCCACTGGGCTGTCACAGCCCCTGTGCTGCCTTGCCTGTCTAGGTTGTCGCAGAGTACAGTCACTGTGTCAATGTGAAGGCAGAGAAAGGGTAAGCCTCAGGAACAGGTGGCACTCTGCGAAAAGCGCCTGAAATGTAGAGGAGGAATTAAGGGAGGGGAGAGTGCTAGAGAGTAGCAATGCCGGCTGGTTTTACCTCCACCCTCCGGAGAAGCGATGGCAGGGCGTGCGCAGGCCTTCTGGGAAGAACAGAGGGGTCTTCCTTAGACCTCTCCTGCCCAGTACAGGTCCCATTCCAGGAGGGAGCAGGTGGTCAAAGGGTAGAAATCCAACAGTACATGAGAACGCTTTTGACATGAAGCACAGATTATACAATACGTGGCGAGAAAAAAAAAAAGACCATCCTGACAGTTCGAAAAATCAGTAATTATCGGGGTGACTTTAATTAGCTAATATTTTAATTAGCCCCTCCCTTGTTCTAGAAAGAGCTTATAAAAAGAATACTGTCCCTTATTAATTCGAAAGTAATTTTCAGCTCTCCGAAAGCAACCTGTCAAAATGAAGGATGGTGATGATGATGATGATGATGACCGTGATGAGTATTGTTACTGGCCAAATTTTAAAAGCATTTGTGATTTTATGATCATGGCCCCAGGATTTTTTTTCCCCTTCCCCTTTATCCATCCTTTTGTCATGCCTTATTTGTTTTCTTTATATCCTCTGCATCTCTATCTTGCTCTTTGTTTCTTTCTTCCTACTCTGAGTGGCCTCACAAGAGGCACCCTGGTGCGACTTAACTTAGTTTGTTTTGTGCTGGGCAGAGGGAGTGTGGCAGCAGGAGCTGCACCAAAGAGGGATGAAGTGGGATGTAATGGGATTGAGTGCTGGAGCTGGGAAAGGACATTGTATATGACTGAAGGTGGCTTTCCACTCCAAAATTAGACAACCAAATAATCAAATCTATCATTTTTTTTCAATTTTTAATGATTCAAAGGCAGATTTTCTTCCCCAGCATGAGTATTAAGAAGAAGAAAATTAGACGCCTATTATTGTCTACTTGATATGTTGGTATTATAATTGGCTCAGTACATAAAAATATCATTATAATATATTCTGTCAATTATTTCATTAATGACTCCAGACTTCCTACTATGGTACACCATTTCCAATTTCAAATCTTTAGAAGAAAGGGCTTAAGAATAAAAGAATGTAATAAACTTCTGTGGAAGGTAAGTCAGGCTTTATTATTAACATTTTTGGCCTTTGAGCCAAATCTCAATTTCTTTGGATCACTCTGATGAAGCACTGTATTCTTCAATATCTGAAGCCATAGAACAAAGATATTGCTTCTACAATTCTTATTGAAAGAGATGGTTCTCAACTGTAAGCCTAAATCATTGTTTAATATTCTGTAGTGAGGTTTGCTATTAATTACTTTTTATAAATGTAAATCTTTCTAATGGGAATATTCAGAATGTGGTTTTTATTTCTTATGTATGATAGCTAAAACAACGCCATTCCCACAACATAGCATTATGTTTCTATTGGATTAATTTAGCCTTCTACAGTGCCTTTTTTTTTTTTTTAGCTGAGTTCAGTTATTTTGGGAAAATCCATGAAAATCATATTCCATTAATGTTAATAAAATTTTGCTAAAACACCAAGATTGGCCATTCAAAATAAAATGTTTACAAATGATAAAGATTGATGATTTAAAAAAAGATTGTTGTATTATGAGCTATAAATGAGCAAGAAGTCACAAACCAATACCTACGATCCATTTAAGAGAAAATGTTTTAATTAGAATGTAAATGAGTAAAGTATTGCTGGAGATTTTTATATTTCATCATTTCTAGATGAAGTTAAAAATATTTAATTCATGCAAAACATTGTTTTGCTTAGAATAAATTTATGATGTGTAATTTTTGGCTAATTCTCAATTGTTATGTTACACAAATGAAAGCCAAATTTAAAGACAAATGGACAGAAAGCTTCAACTGTCTAATCTCCTTAGGGAATACATTTAGAAGATGGGAATAAGAAAGCAACTCAGAAGTATCAGTTCCCAGGAAAATTGTTAAAGGGACATGTAGTGATTTTTAAACTAGAGTTCATTTTTGCCATTTTTAAAGTAAAGCAGCACATAGAGGCCTTCATTTAAAAAAAATGGAAAAGAAACTATTCTAAATTAAGAAACCTGGTCAAATATTTTCCACAAACAAGACAACTATTTATGAGATATGTTTCCTTCACCCAAGATATATACCTATTGACACATATGACAGTAAACTTTTGTGGAAATAATACTTTTCTAAATGGACAAAGCTACATTAAACAAGTATTTATTTTTAATTTTTTTGTTGCAGATAGACACAATATCTTTATTATTTTATTATTTTTATGTGATGTTGAAGATCAAATCTAGGGCCTCTGCTAGGTAAGCACTTTACCACTGAGCCACAACCCCAGCCCCAACAAGTATTTATTGAAGATTTAATATTTGCCCATCAGAGGCCTATATTGGCAAACTTATGTTGGTTACATATTTTGACAGATTAACTGTTATATTTTAAAATATCCTCATTTCTTCAACCAATCAATAGGTTTTATATTATTCTACTTTGAATCTTTGCTAACCATCGAATATTTTATTCAATTTTTTTATTGTTTTATTTTTGCTCTTCCTCTTCCTCTCCCCCTTAAACACAAACACATCTCTGAAAAAGAAGGAAGGAAGGGAGGGAGGGAAATAAATCAGGGCTTACAACATGACTTTTTATTTAAAAACAAAATTTGACTCTAAAATCTTGATTTCATAATAAGATTCTTCTTCAAAGAGCTGGAGTTGTTTTGTTTTAACTGTAAGTTATAACACAAAGTCATATAGACTCCATTTACTTAGGCCTACATAGACAACAAGCAGTAGAAAACTCGGTAGTTTATGAAAATATTCACAAGCAACAAAAATGCAATGGTCAGTGGTAAGAGATAATAGTAAAAACTAAAATAATCAGAACTAATAACTGCTGGCACTCTTTCCAGTGTGTTGAATCTTATGGCTACAGCCTTCCATGAAGAAGAAAGATCATCTATTAATATCGTTCTTCTGATGCTAGGTTTTTCACATTCTCTAAACACAGTAAAACACCATTATAACTTAGTTATCTCTATTAAAATGTGGACATGTTTGGATCAAATTCACTTTAGAATAATCTCATTCAGTAAGTATATCACACTTACTCAATCTGATACAAGGTTGTCTGCTGAAGCACCACAAAATAATGTTGCTAGGAATTTTTCCCTCTTCAGTAATAAGCATGGGAAAGAAAATAAGAGAGCAATCATTTTCCTTTTGGTGCCTCATATTTTAGATTTATATGTTTAAAATATCACTCTTTATTACAAAGAATTTATGACCATCTGAACATACAGGGAAAGAGTTAAAATGCCATATTCCATTGATAGATGAGTAAAATAGAGATCATGTATTGTCATTTATAACAGATGGGAGATGTAAACTTTTAAGTTTCACATTTGGAAACATTTGAAAATCAATATAGAGCAAGTAGTGTCTAGCAATAGTATGTTATTCAATATGTACAGCTTGGGAGGGTCTAATTCCTAAGGGTTCCTGATAATTTGCCAAGAGATTGTGATGCCTAAGTAATAGAAAGGTACTAATGCTATCTGATGCTGTATCATGATTATATCATCAAATTAATAGTATGTAAACATTGCATATCTTTAAAAACTAAGAACAGGATTTAAACTATTCTGTTGTAAAATAGCTTATGTTGTCTACAATTGGAATTTACACATATTGATTTTCTTTTTCTTATTCACATGTCTTTATATTTTTCACTAGGTTGGCCCATTCTTTCTGATTCTCTCAATGTCCATAGCTATCGAGAAGAATTGATTTAATTCATTTGCCAAACTCAGTGAAGATGGTCCAAGGATAAACAGTAAGACTTTCAAGTTGAGAGTATTTATCACTTAAATGCTGCTGCAAGTTTTTCTGTTACACAGAGATTAATGTATCTTTGTCAAGTTGTCATTTATTTTTGTGAAACATTTTATATTGTAGAATACTTGCAGATTAATTTTTAGTTTAAATGAAACAACCAAATGCATAACTTTAAAACATTAATTAGCTTTGAAATGAATATTTTTGTGTTTATTACAGTCCAATAACAATAATCTAG